ACCACTTGTGGTAGAAGTCGGTTATTAGTTAGGAGGTAGTTAGTAGTCAGTCCACTTGTGCCCATGTGTGGTACATACAGTTGCTGTACAGTATGTACAGGGGATTTGAACTCTGATAAAAGAAATGGGTGGTGCATTTGCATTTTGCATGCCCTCCCCCCCCTCCCCCGGAGAAGCCCGGGATCATCTGACTAATAATGAAGACCCAGAAAAAAAACACCACCGAAAGAAAAAAAAAAAAAAAAAGAGGTTCCAAGAAACCCAAGAGTCCAAGAAATCCAAGACCTGCACCCTCTCTCCTCGGGGTCCTCGGGGCGGGAAAAGAAGCGCCAAGAGAGGCAGGGGGAGAGGGATTACTTGGTATGTTTGGGTATTTTCCAGTTGGCCACCGGTCATTTTTGACTGCTTGGTGGACGTCGACCGCGAAAAACTGGGGTTTGTTTTGCTCGGCCATTAGATGTATCCCAACTATAGTAGAGCGAAGTATTGGAGTTACTAGTACTAGTACAGTACAAAGTAGTGAGATATTGGTTGAAATCGTAATAATAATCCGTTGGCTGGTGCTTCCCTCACGGCTCCAAATGTCAGACACGAGAACTGGCTCCACTGGTCTGTCCTTGCGGAAAAAGGAAGGCTTCGATTCCTGCCAGCAACAAGACTTTCCAGTCGCATTTCTAGTACAAGGTGATAATAAACAGACAAGGAACGGGGAGAGTGAGAGGGGGAACTTGGGAACGCAGGACGGAGGCCAAGAAGGGTAACTTGGCCAACTTGGCAAGTTTTCTTATGCGGGGGGGGAAGGGATTAGGCTGTCAGTCGGATTGTCAGACAACATTTTATTATCAATTCTCATGGTCCCTAGATCATAGTAGGACGGACTAAGTCAGTCAGTCAGTTAGTCCGTGTGTCAATACGGGGGCGAGGGAGACCGGTTATTCGAGGCTTCGTTCAAGCCCACTAGGACTAGTTTCCGAATCCCTTAAGCTCTAACCATTCCGGCCGGCACTAAGTTGTGGGTAGTTGGGAAACTAATTCTCGTGGAAAACGAAGGCAGTACGGATAGATGATTGACAGTGAAAGTGAGAATGTTCTCAGCATGAATCAGGTATGATATCAGCCTAGACATAAACACTTAGTGTTTATGCTCCTGATGTAAACTTTCTGTAACCACCTTAGTAGAATACCTGGGTGTGTTAAAACCAACAAAAAAAAAAAAAAGAAAGAAAGAAAGAAAGAAAGAAAGAAAGAGAAGAGTCCAAAAGGAAGAAGGGCCAGGCGATGCCATGCCACGCCACGCAGCCCCGCACGGTCTGTCTTGGCCCGGACAATGCCCAGTCCTGGCTTGGGCTTCTTGTCCGTCTTGTTCTCCCCTCCGCCCGGTTGAGTCTTCGCCTTTTCTAGGCAAGGCTCGTCTTTCGCTCTCGCTCTCCCCTCGGCTCGGCCCCAAGACTTTCCTCCCCTGATTCTCTCTTCTGAAGCCCCCCTCCCTCCTCCTCCCTCCTCCCCTTTCCATCTCTTTTCTTGTTCTGACTCTTACAAGCATTATCTTCCTCCTCCTCCTCTTCCTCCATCTTTCTTGTTTGATGTCCCCCTGGTGGTCTTCATCTATACAGTCCACCTATATTTCTCTTTATTTCCAACTACAATTACCTTATTGATTCAATATAAATTACTGGGCGTTTTCCCCACTACAGGTTGCTTGACTTGACTAGGCTGCGGTATCGGTGCGCGTGTCTGACTCCCTCTTTGTTCAACGCTCTCACCGCGTCTCGAGTCTACCCACCGTCCTAGCCTACTTCTGCCCTCTTCTACTTCCCCGTGGGATAGACCACTCTCGTCGGTTCATTTACCACCGGCTCTTGTCTCTGTTTGACGTATTTGTTGATTATATCCCCGTTGGGGTATTGTGTTGAGTCGCTTGTCTACTTCCGCTGGCATCCCAAGACAGGGACAAGAAACAGAATTTTCTTGGCAATGTCGGAACCCCAAGACACCACCACCACCACCACCACCACCACGACGGCGGCCCCTTCAACGGCAGCTGCCCCCGTGCCTGCACCTGCCGCCCAAGAGCCTGCTACTCCCCATCAACAACCATCTCCTCAGGTATCGTCGGCTACCGCTGCGTCGGCCGCTGCAACTGCTGCTGCTGCCACTGCTGCCGTTGCTAGCCCTCCCATTAACGGCGCCACCACTCGCCCTAGCGAGGAACTGTCCTGCTTGTGGCAGAACTGCTCTGAGAAGTGCCCGTCTCCCGAAGCTCTCTACGTAAGTTGTGTCGGCCTTTTTTTTTCCCTTTATTTATTTCTTTGCTAGCTCATGCTCTTCTCTTCTGGCTCTTGAGACACCTTCGAGTGACCGGCCACGTGTCGGCTCGACCAGCCACAATCATGGGGAAACGATCCGCCGCTGACCGCTCTGGTGCTCTAGGAACATGTGTGCGAGCGTCATGTCGGTCGCAAGAGTACAAATAACCTCAACCTGACCTGTCAATGGGGTAGCTGTCGGACGACGACCGTCAAGCGCGATCATATCACCTCTCACATCCGCGTCCATGTGCCGCTCAAACCACACAAGTGTGATTTCTGTGGCAAGGCCTTCAAGCGTCCCCAGGATTTGAAGAAGCACGTCAAGACCCATGCTGATGATTCCGTTCTGGTTCGCTCCCCCGAGCCTGGCTCTCGGAATCCGGACATGATGTTTGCAAGCGGCGCCAAAGGTATGCGACCGCATATGTACCCTTCGGGCGTTGACCGACTGACGCATGCTGTAGGGTACGCCGCGGCAGCTCATTACTTCGAGCCCACCATCAACCCAGTCCCTAGCCAGGGTTACGCCCATGGTGCCCCTCAATACTATCAATCTCACCCACCGCCTCAACCTTCCAACCCATCCTACGGCAATGTTTACTACGCCCTGAACCACGGCCCGGAAGCCGGACACACCTCGTACGAGTCGAAGAAGCGTGGCTATGATGCTCTGAACGAATTCTTCGGTGACCTGAAGCGCCGCCAGTTTGACCCGAACTCGTATGCGGCCGTGGGTCAGCGGTTGATGGGCCTCCAGAGTCTGTCGCTGCCCGTCTTGAGCAGCGGACCTCTGCCTGAATACCAAGCGATGCCCGCCCCGATAGCTGTAGGTGGCGGTGGATATAGCCCTGGAGGCCATCCCTCCGCTCCGTCGTACCACCTGCCCCCAATGAGCAACGTGCGCACCAAGAATGATCTGATAAATATCGATCAATTCTTGCAGCAGATGCAGGACACGATCTACGAGAACGACGACAACGTTGCTGCAGCTGGAGTTGCCCAACCCGGTGCTCACTACGTCCATGGAGGTCTGAGCTACCGCACCACTCACTCGCCGCCCACACAGTTGCCCCCCAGCCATGCGACAGCTACGACAGCGGCTAGCGCCATGATGCCCAACCCAGCCACCCACTCTCCCTCCACCGGCACTCCCGCCCTCACGCCTCCTTCCAGTGCACAGTCCTACACCTCCGGTCGCTCTCCGATCTCTCTCCCGTCAGCCACTCGCGTGTCGCCACCTCACCATGAAGGTGGCCACATGTATCCTCGCCTGCCTTCGGCTACCATGTCTGAGAGCATGACAGCAGGCTATCCGACCACATCGAGTGCGGCACCGCCGTCAACCTTGGGAGGCATCTTCGATCATGATGACCGGCGTCGATATACCGGTGGCACGCTGCAGCGCGCGCGCCCAGAGCCCCGCTCCATGCCTGATGCCATGGACTTGTCGCAAGACAACGAGAAGGCAGACAGCGAGCGCACCCCTCCCGCTAAGGGGCGAGCATCCTCCATGTCACCCAAAAGCATCTCGGCTAGCCTGATCGACCCTGCGCTGTCGGGCGCGGCTGCTGAAGCTGAAGCGACGCTCCGGACCGCCCAGGCAGCGACCGAGGTGGCGGAGCGGGCTGACGTGCAGTGGGTGGAAAAGGTCCGGCTGATCGAGTACTTGCGCAACTACATTGCTTCCCGGCTGGAACGGGGCGAATACGAGGATGGGTCTCAGCGAATCCGCGACGAACGGAGCCCGGAGTCCGCGTCAGGGAGCCAAATGGAAGGGGTGGAGCTCACGCCAGCCGAACCGGCACCAGCCAAGCCGGGAGTGAAGTCGGAGGCAGGGGATGTAGTGATGTACCCGACGTTACGAATGGATGAAGATGGCGATTCCAAGATGCCCTGAGGGCGGTGGCTTGGACTGACCGAGGTGATTTTCTGATGTTACTCCGGGCCTCTCTTGAGACCGGCGGTTCATATTTGTTATCTTTCTTTCTATAGGGTACCTTGGGTACCTCTCCCCACTTTCCTCTTTCTGTTAATTATCTACGGCTATGCTACGAACGACTTGTTCTGGGCGATTGCGGGTTAGGTTTGATTCTGCTTGATTGCTATTCCCAATGCGTCTGAGGACCGGACTGGCCTCGTTCGGCAGGCGGTCCTGGTGACTCGGGGTGTTACTTGTGTATATGCTGAACCTGTATTTACTGGGAGAAATCCATGGACTCGGACGTTGATCAGTTTTCGTTGTTGACATCAGTAGTTGTTTTTGTCTATTATTGTAGCGCTGTCTTTCCCTCTTGATCCGGCGGTGGGAGGAAGAGTGAGAAGGGGAATCTAGGGCGAGCGATTGCAACGAAGATGTTACCTGTCGGAGGAGCCTTGAAGAGGGGATCCGCATTCCATACGAGCTGCACGCGGACACCATGACGCAACCAGTCTGAAGGGTCAGTCACTAGCCTTTGCCTAATCCGGGGATGGTCGAGACCAGCAGAGGTTCTACCAAAGGGGAGAAAGAGTAGCAGCAGCAAGTTATGAGTAAGTTTGTGTAGAAGCAAGAGCCGCCCGCAAGTGAGGAGATGATGATGATGATGTTGTTGTTGATGACGATGACGATACTGGTGGTAGTTAGTAGATGGTTCCAACCCGCCCGCGCATCCGATCAACTCCGCCTCGCTGACTTCTGGTCCGCCCTCGTAGACTTTGGGGGAAAAAAGGAAGCTAGCTTGTGAGTAGTAAGGCTTGGGTTGGGTTTCATCATAGATAGATAACCCAGAGCGAACCCTGTCTGGTTGACGGATTGCTCTTTCAAGAAATTGCAAAATTGAGGGTTCAACGGACAGACAGAAACTGCATCCGGCAAAGGGTCAACAACGGGCCATTTCTTTTAATGGTCTGGTCTGTTTGTGATGTTGCTTGCTTGCTTTTCTTCCTGCTTGTTGGGTTCCAGGTTAAGGGATCCACTGTCTGTTTACGGCGTCGTATTTGGGATGTAGTACCTAGTAGAGTGTTTAGACCGTATATAATAGGATCCGGGGGGGGGGAGGGAGAACCAAGGGGGAAGGAGAAAGTTAAGAAGAGAGAGAAAGAAAGGAAGAAAGAAAGGAAGGAAAAAGAGCGAGAGTGAGCAAAAGAAGAAAAAGTACAATTGCAATTGTGTTTGGTGGTGGAAGAACAAGCAATCCGTGATTGCAACAACTAAACTACTCAATCTGGCAGTGACGGCACCTTTCCAGTTCATTTCCATCTCCTTCATTCCCTTCAATTGCAGGCAGTCCCACATGACTGACTGATTGACTGACTTGACTGTTTGATTGATGATTGATTGACTGATTGATTTATCAATTGACTGACTGACTGACTGACTTAGAATTGGATTGACTCGGGCGCGTTTCCTTCCCATCTCATCCTATTCCCTTGTGGCTGATTCATTCTCAGCGTCATCATCATCATCATCACTACTACTACTATCACTACTACTACTTACTACTTTCTACTTCCTGCTGCTGGCTGCTCTGCTTCTTCTTCTGCTTCTTCTTCTTCTTCTTCTTCTTCTTCTTCTTCTTCTTCTTCTTCTTCTTCTTCTTCTTCACCACTTGCTTCCACACACAAACTGCTTGTCTCGATCCTTTCCTCCCTTCTTTCCTTTTGTTCCTCTCTCTCTCCCTCCTCCCTTTTCTCTGATTCATCATCACTAACCCTTCTCTTCCTTTCTTCTCCCCCTCCCATCACACCCCAGCCCTATTGAACGTGCTTGGCGCAAACCCGACCTCCCCTCCTCCTCTTCCCTCCC